CGACTGCTCGAGAGGAGGCATTCTACTGGAAAAAGAACCTAAGACGTGTGAAGGGACCGTCGAACTTTTCACGAACTCGAAAACTTTGGATCTTCTCTCCCGCTGAGCCCTCTTTCCCGCCTGATCCCTATTGCTCATCCTGCTCACGTACGCGAGGGTGGTTGTTTTGGCGATGAGGGTAGCTGGGATTCGCTCGGGCGGTGCTCTCGGCAAAATACGGGATCCGAATTATTGGGACGATCCACCGAAACCATCGCGATTTCCAAGTGCGACACGTATGAAGTCGATATATCGTCGCAAACGATATATGCCACGAGCGTCCTTCCTTTCAAACACGAGTTGTCACGAGGAGATAAAAAAAAAACAGGTTCGTTAGGAAGACTCGAGAAAGTGTGGTATTGAATAAATAGCAATTTCATTTTGTAATGATGTTCTTTGCGATATATTAGAAATTATTGATTACCGAAATTATTATAGGAAGTGCAATGGCATTACTTTTTATAAGCTCATTGATTACTTTTATAATTAACTCTAAATATATTGGAGAATTTATATGCCATTTTCCCTTATTTTAATTGCATTTTGGAAAAAAGAACAGATTTAAACGCTATTCAATATTTTCAATAAAATATTTATAATTTCCTTATTAAAAAAATTAAATTTTAATAAATATTTATTTGAACAGTTCTAAGTAAATACTTATTACGCACAAACAATAAATATATATTTATCTGTTATAAAAATCATTAATTTGATTTAACTATTATTTTTTTATCGAGTTAATATTTATTTACTACAAGTATACTTCAAAAAAGGTATATAATATTAAGATTTATTATTTAAAAAAATTGTTTTTTCAGTTTAGATAGATATTTTTAATTTATCTTTGTTTTCTAACATAATTTACTTTATACGATTTCCGCTTTCCTTTTCTGTCCTGCAGAAAAAGGTTTTTCGAAACACTTGGCGTCAAGTGATCGTCATTATTGGCGGGATCTCCCATGTATCGAGCGGACAGAAGTGGCTTGTACCCGTCGCTAGGTACAAAGAGCACGCGGGGGATCCGCGAGACACCCCACAAAATTCCAACTGCAATAAATTATATTCGAGGCACGTGCCAGTCGTAGGGGTGAGCGTCGTGTGTGCTGTACCAAATGGCACTTTCATTGCACTTGCCCCACGGTCTTTGCATCTTACCGAGTTTCGTCACCCCCAATTTATAGCTGCTCTTCGTCTTTCTTATTTCTTTTTTGGGAGGGTCAGATCCACTTGAATGGAAACACGTATCATACATTTATTACGCATTACGTTTATTTATAGAATTTTTTCAACACGAAGATTGGAGATTGTGGGTAATTCGAGGGGTATTAAGAAAAAAAGGGGATTCACCGAGGCTTCTGTTTTATTCTCGGGATTTAGTTTTTTTTATGTCAACTTTTTCCTCGATGATTTGTTAGGAAGATATATTTTATCTTTAGACTGTATCTACCGATAACATCGTTATTTTCCAAAATGATTCGCTATACTGCGCGCGAACAACGCGCGTGGGAAAAAAAGGGGATGGAACCATTAAGCGCCACGCAAGATCCATCATTTTTCATACTTTAACGTAGCGTATATACGGGTGCGTGAATAAACCAACGTGAGATTCGCTCGAGCGCGAACGTACAGCGATAAATGACACAGCCGGAACAAATGATAATTACGACGAAACCGTGTTTTGAAATTTTGTAATTTTCGTGCGCCTAGCATACAGAAATTAAAAACAAGCCGTATATAACGTAACCACTTTTATCTTTATTAAAGAAATATATTTAATAATTTTAAATTTTATTCTCAAAAAACGCATCAATTCAGATAATTTTAATTTAAAACATAGACCTTTTGTTGCGTAAAATTTAGATAAAATTAAATTTATTTCTTTTTTCTTATTTTTTTGCATAATTTTAATTTTTATATTTAGAAATACTTATATATTCGCGGACCTCTACAAATTTCTCAAATTTTTACGTCTGCTAGAATTTCTCTCTATATTTTTCTTTGTGATACCTTATATCTTTATATTCCCTCGCGTAGATTCCAAATTTCTACATTTCCGAATCTACTGACCCATAAATCGTTATTTGTGACGAATTTATGAACCCAGAGTTGCCGAATATATGGATCTCGTCTATAACCGACTGACTTGTCGTTCAAGATCGTGAAACATTCGTTGTTAACTTATTACCAGGTGGAAATAATGCACAAAGTTGTGGAAGCGTCGTTATTGCCAGACATCGTAGCGAGACGTTAGTTTCGTGTCTCATCGTGCGGTTGACGTTTAATTCAAAATCTTGTGTTGCCCTTCTCTGGCCATGACTCGAGCTTATTCACGCCTTTAGCCGCAACGCCCGCGTTGCTCATAAATCTCGGAAAACTTGCCGGTGGCTACGGGTTAACCACCCACCAATTAGCATCCTGAATTCGAGGGTGCGAGCGAAAGTTTCCGATTTCCCTATTGTCGCAACGGTGATACTCATGGTGTCTCTCAGACCCTCATCTTAATATTAGATTCTTTGATAAGATTGAAGTCAAATTTTTTTAAAGAAAATTAATTTAAAGAAAAAAAACATTATTTTAATTTTGTTATTTATTTTATATTGTAATCTATTTTATTTAATAATTTTATTGATTTATTTTAGATTTGTTTACTTTATAATTGTTAATACCATATATATCAATTTTATAAATCTTTATTTTTTTCCTCCTCTTCGAATTTTCGATATTGAGTATCTCACAATTATTAAATATAAATCGCGAGAAGAGATTTTTAATTTTTGAAGTTTTATAACTTGATTATTTATATTTTAATAACTTAAATCGAAGACAGTTTAAGAACCAAATTTTTCTAGTTTTTGTATTGAATCAGAGAAGCACTATCTCTTCAAATCGTTTGTAGATAGTAGCAATCGGAGCATCCAACAACGTAACGAATGTCCAGAGGGATGAGTGGTAAATGGTTGGCTACAAAACAGTGAGAGCTCCCTATGGGCTCGTCCTCGACAACGGCCGTCTGCAAAAACATTAATCACAAGTCAGTCGGTGTTTGCGCTGTCTATTTCAAAGCTTGTCCTACGCACTTTGTCATCGATAGATCGTCAACAAACATTTTCGGGCTTATAACGGTACAGTTTTTAATCGAAGATAGATAGAACAGAAGTAGGATATATAGTAACAGTAATATATTGATTTTTTTATTTAAAACATTTGACGTAAAATAAACTACAATACTTATTTCTAAATTAAGGATCGAACTAAAATATAAAATGCGATAATTAATTTTTTTGTATTTATCTATAACATTATAAATTATGTATTTATTTATAATTAATTATATTACTTTGAATTATAAATAGTATATATAACGGCATTTTACATATAAAGATATATATATATATATATATATGTATGTAATAGTTTTATTAAACATATATAACAAAAATCTAATTTTTAATTTTAAACAAAGTAATACACGCATTCTCTTTTCTAGTTTTGAAAAAATTGTTTATGCATAACATTTATTCAGCATTATTACATGTTTATAAAATGATAAATGTTTTCTCGAAAGTGCTTCTTGATTCGTATGTCTCTATATAAGGAAAGATGACATGTATGTACAGTCGGTCTAGTAGGAAATGACGATAACTAAATATCAAGATTTTTAATGATTGTACCATGTTTATCATGGGACGTAATTCTGATCCTAATATATACTTTTGTTACTATAAGTAAACATAATTAAAAATACAACTGATCCCAGTATCCGAGAATGGATTGAAATGGATTGGACATTTTGTCTATTCGAATTCGTATTTTAAACAGCGAAAACTTTTTTTTGGATTCAATTGGATTCAATTAGGTTCAATTGGATGCAACTGGATTGAAAAACTGCGTTTGCTATTCAAAATTTTGAATTATACAGTATTCACTATATGGTCACAAACGCACTGAAAAAGCTGATATTATTTTTAGATTGAAAGGTATACAGATATATGCTCCATGCAATTCCTATAAATGAATAAAAACTTATTCGGATTGAAAAAGATTCATTTTAACATTCATGAATCCGTATATTTTTCTGAAAATCTGAATTTATTTTAATCCATTTCAATCCTTTCTCAGATACTGAGATTATATTATAAAGGGCGTATATAAGAGTCAAAGAATATATTTAAAAAATAATATATATATCTATTTTAAATGAAATATATAATATTATATAATAATACATAATAAATATTAAAAATAATGAAAAAGGAAAAGGCTTATGAGCCAAAAATTCGTAAAACATTCAATTGTTTGTAAATAAAAATTGTTGTTTGGTTAAAATTACGTAGTTTAATTAAAATAGAATAACAAACGTTTCGTCCTCTATTAGGTCAATATTAATGATGTTACAAAGATCGCAAGTTGTTAACAATTAGTCCTTTTTCTTTTTCATTATTTTTAAATGTATTGAGCCTTATCGAAAACATATCATAATAAATATATAATACACCAATAATAGCGAGCGCTCATTCAACTGTTGAGTAGTCCGCTGAACGCGACCATTGATGTCGTTAGATCTTCTAGATCTAAAATTCTGATTGGATGATCTAAAAGAATATACCAATACAGCGAGCGTTCACTTAACAGTCTGCTGAACGCGCCCTACGTTAAAAGATGATTGGCTCACGCGTTACTCTTTAAGGTACATTTTCATGAGCTGCTCAAACTGGCCGTTTCAATAGATTCATGTTGATCAATGGTAATTATAAATATTTCAGTATTTGCTCACTTTTATCATTTTCACCTCGTTTCAAAATACACAAATGACTTCCAAGGTTGCGTTGTTAATGGTGGACCAATTGAAAGTGGCTTTTTCGTGTCTTGTTTCTAATTAGAGCATTAGAGGGTCTTTACTCCCGTCTATATACGCTCGTGTGTGACGTATGTAAACACGGGTCCTCCTGTCATCGTACATGAACGTGAATCTTGCCGTTCCCATTCATCCCGTTTGCCAATGTTTTAAGATGGCGGACGCGAACGAGAAGTTGCTGGCGGAACTTCTGAAAAAGTCTGGGAACAACGTGTGCGCGGATTGCGGGGCCAAGAGTAAGTGTATTTTTTCAAAGATCTCATTTACTTTAAACCATCGCTAGCGAATGAGACTCATTCGGCTGCGACGTATGTCTTAACCTCTTGACATTCGTCAAGCGACGTTTAGACATTTGTTTTTACAGCGATCTGAAATATTACGATTACATAATTTAAAATTCCTCGAGATTGGTCGCATCTCATGATACCTGATATTTAACATTGTGTGGTGTCATGGGCTTCAACGACCATCAGATTTGATAGTATCATTAGCGATAGTAGAGTATGGAAATCCCTCTCTCCTCTCAAATTCATTGAAGTTTCTTTTACTAGGAACACGATATCTTCCATTCGTTTCGCTGCATGTCATTTTACGTTTTAGATCCAGAATGGGCGTCTTACAATATAGGTATATTCGTTTGCACGAGGTGTGCTGGTGTACACAGATCTATGGGAGCACATATTTCGAAAGTGAAGCACTTAAAGTTAGATAGATGGGAAGATTCTCAAGTGAGTAGGATACGCGAAGTAGGTAATAGCAAAGCGAGAATGCGCTACGAGGAACGTGTGCCCTCTTGCTACCGCAGACCAAATCCAGATACTCCACAGTGAGTTGTCCATGTTGTATGATTTTCCTGTTGCAATCATCACCTTATGATATATTCTTCACGACACAGTTATCAGTTAGCTTTTATATAGATTATTTTTTAAATAGTATTTTATTGGATGTTATACAAAGCACATGAATTGTCAGAAATTAATTTATAAATCTAGATATTCTACAACATGAGTTATCAAGCATTTATGTGGTTTTCCTGTCTTAGTCATCATCTTATAAACACATCCATTCGTGATACAATTATCAGCTAGTTGTTTTATATAAATTACATTGTAAATAGTATTTTGATTGGATATTATACAAAACACTTGGATTATCAGAAATTAATTTACAAATTCAGACAACTCCATAGTGACTTATCAAACATTTGTATGGTTTTCCTGTTTTAGTTATCACTTTATGACACATTTATTCATAATACAGTTATCAACTAGCAGTTATATAGATATTTTAAATAGTATTTTTATTTAGATATTATATATAAAGTGCTTCAATCTCATATCAGAAATTTGATTTACAAACTTTATTATAGAGTTTTAGTCGAACAATGGATTAGAGCAAAATACGAAAGAGAGGAATTTTGTCATCCTGAAAGACAAAATCATTATGTATCAGGATTTATGGAAGGGTTTTTAATGAAACGTGGAAAGGAAGATTCACGTTACCACCCTCGTAAATTTGTACTTCGCGAAGCGGAGGATACACTCAAGTATCATGTTAAAGAAAATAAGGTAATTTAAATAAGATGCAGTGCGAGTCTAAGAATACAAATATTTAATTTCACATTTACTTTAAGGAACCCAAAGCTGTTTTAAGAATATCAGAATTAAATGTAGCGTTTGCGCCACCTAAAATTGGCAATCAGAATAGTCTTCAACTGTCCTTTATGAAAGATGGCACAACGAGACATATCTATGTGTACCACGAGGATCCGGAAGTAATCACAAATTGGTACCTTGCCATTAGGTGTGCAAAACTGCACCGCTTACAAGTGGCGTATCCAGGTGCTAATGAGAATGAGTTATTGTCGCAACTTACAAGAGATTTCCCGCGCGAAGGCTTTTTATGGAAAACTGGTCCAAGACATACAGACGCTTATAAAAAAAGATGGTTTACCTTAGATGGTAGAAAACTCATGTATCACGACGATCCTATGGTACATCCTAATTTTTACTTAATGCTTGTATTACTTGACAATCTGTATTGTTATCTTCTTCTATCTTCTAAGGACGCACATCCAAAAGGTGAAATCTTTTTGGGTCATAGTTCCGAAGGTTTCGCGGTAAAAACGGGCGTACCGTCGGGTGCTAGAGATCAAGGATTTTCATTTACTCTTGAAACTCCTGATAGGACTTACCTGCTCTCTGCACAAAGCGATGACGACAGATCGCAATGGATTAGCGTAATCCAAAAAGTAATAGATAAACCATTAACGCCACAGGACGCAACCGGTAAGCCGTTAACCAGAACGTCTGTTAGATTTAATTCGTGAAGATATGTATGTACATGTTGGTTTTCATTTGCAGTAGCAGCAAGACTTGTAAGAAAGCGCACAACAAGCGGAACAATGAATATATTTTCGTCCACGAGATAGGGCTGGATTCCTCTTAGGCGTCTTTCTTAATTTTATGCCGATTAATCGAATCGTATCGAAATATATAAATATATGACTCAGCACACACGCGAAACGGCACGTATAGCTTCGAATTATTTACTCATCTTGTTACTGTTGAGTCATGTATTTATCTTGCACACGGTAGTTGCATAGAGACATATTAAGACTGCTCGAAGATGTTGATCAACAAATGTGGATAAAGGATAAACTACAAGCACCAACCACTTCTCGGTGATATTCTTGCGTTGAAGATAAAGCTTGTGTCGCTTACCATCGAAATGCGTAGGCAGGCAGTATCGTAACAATATTACAAGAAATTTTTACTTAGCAATAATATTGTGTGTGATACTTGTCTCTGACAGTGTAACGTTCGAAGCACTGAAAAAATTATCTTCCAGAAGTTTGATCTAATCTATTACGGAACAATCTATTGAATAGCAAATCTAGCTTAGAATAGACATTATTTTAAAAAAATCACTGATTTGCAGTATTTTCTTTCGTCTTTTTTTTATTTACTTAGCAGTTTATTTAGATTATCAATTATACATTAGGCCACAAGTGATAACGCTACACAATCTGTACATAAAAAATAAATTTTGAGGGCCTATCATTCTTCATTTTCATTATTTCTTTAAAAGTATAAAAACTTAGTCCTATGCTATTCCCATAAATAAAACTATATTCGACAATGAATACTAAATAATGAATTATTGTCTATACGCGTGCTGATTATGCATTAAATATCATAACATTTCTTGGAATGTTTCAATAACAGAAAAAACAATGATATAGAGTAAGAAAGAGACATTGCTCATTAACAAATATCTGATTAATAATTGATCATTCAGGTACATGCATGGATATGTATTTTTGTGAAAGGTTTCAGTATTTTACTTTCTGCTCGTGTTCAGAAACAGGTAAATTTTTCAAATAACATAAAATATTAACCCAGCAGAAAGCAGCAATACTGACATATGTCACTCGAAAAGATGGCGGAATTAATAAAAAGTTCACAAATTGCACCGGCAACCAAAATCCACACGAAGTCTGAAAAACAAAAATATATGTAATTTCCATAATGTAGCCTTTTTGGCACGAATTAGGAAACAAACCTGAAAAGTGTGCACAAATTTAATTTTGCATTCTTGAAGGAGATCTGACTTAGCTTCCATTAAACTCATACCTGTAAGATTTATGAATCAGACTTACTACTCTATCGTAAACAAATTAAACAGTTTTTACATAACGTGCTCAAAGATACGAACTGATAAAGAATAAGATAATTAACGGCGGTGTTAAGATAAATTGGTCTACAAAAAGTTTCTTTAATACGACCTTGGTGGATTTTCCACTGTAAAACGTATCGAGCCATTTATACCTGTCGTTAACATTTAAGAATTAATTCGTAAATTTATTGCGAAAGTTGTATAAATACTTTACACCACTTTTAATGAACATTGTCGAAATACCATCCATGTAGTATTGGTCCAGCCAAAAAGCAACCAAAGATCGCATATCTTTTCAATTGCGGCCAATTGTAAGTCGCAGAATTAGCATTTTTATCTACGAGATCTAACATCTCGCAAAGTTTTTGTATTTGGATTAATATCGGTCCTTTGATGTTAGAAGAAATTTCAGGGTCCATGGTAATCGGCTGTATCGGCTATATGTATAAGAGTACAATCCACTCATTAGAGTAAATGATGTAGAAGAATTTGTCGCATTCGATACAAAGAACAGGAATTGCACCTTCGACATCTTCGTGAAGCTCTGTCGGATGAACTCTGCACTCGTATAGAAGAAACCGTACACCATTGAATTAAACAACAAGGGTCTTCTCTGCATAATACTACTTACAACTCGAAGAGCCTTTGTCAATGACATTTTGTCTTACTCTACTACAGTCACGACTCTTATTATTTGTTTCAAGAAGCGTTATCAAATAAGCTAGATATTACTATTACAGTTTTACTGGCACTGAATACGGAATTAAATGGATACTGACGCTGATACTAACGTGTAAAAGCCGCACTACCCATTTAGACTCAATTACGTTCAATCATGACTCAACTATATCAATTGTATCAACATGTTCTCTCTTTCTCTCTCCTTATCTCTCAAATCCCTGTTATAAAAGTAAATGTACACATTGAATTCTTATATTTAAAAAATATCTTGTATTTTGAAAAATTCTATACATTCTTTCTATATAGTATAAAGTCATACAATTACATATATAAATTATATAAATTATATTAAATTTGATATAGTAACAAAATAATCAATTAGGCATAACAGATTGTAATTCAGAATGCAACCAACTTATCCAATCAGAAGATGTTTCCTTCTTTAGGGTAACTTCTTGAAAAACTTCACATCTTTCTTCCTAAATTATAATTTTATCATTAGATATTTAGTTTATTTTTTACAGTTTCAATTAAAAATGACTAGTATTCTATACATGCCTAATTTGCAGTCTAATTTTAAGTTTAAACAAATATTAATATACATAACTAAATTTACATTGAATTATTAAAATTTCAAAGAAATTTTAGACATAATTTAATGTTAAATATGTATAGAAAATAGAAAAATCATGCCTTTTAACTCACCTCTTGAAAACCAAGTTTCTCAAACATTCTTATGCTTACTGCATTGTCTAATTTGATTTTGGCACAGAATTTGTTAATGTTTAGTGTTTCAGCGCCTGTTACAAAAGTAAATATAAATTATAAAAATGTTCAATAATTGTTATCACAGCTGAATTACCATAAAGTAACATTAATATAACAGATTCCCAGCCTCTCTTTTTGCCTCGATTAGCCTCTTCAGCTATCATAATTTCTATTTCAGCACTGCACAGTTCCTGTGAGTCATTGAGAAATAAATTTGTATCTCCCACCATGGCATCTGAAATAAATTAATTAAGAGGAAATTAGACATTGCAGGTGTGGGTACATGTAGGATTACTATAATGATAACAGATGCTATCCATTTAGTGACACAAGTTGATAGAAACATCATTCTATCTTCTTTAATATTTAAAGAATAATAAAGATAGCATGATATTAGTGTTGACTTGTGTCATCAAATGCAAAGTAACTAATAATTTCTAGTATTATAGAAATTCTAGGCTTTACATGTTCAATTATCATCCAAATGCTCCTTCAATTTATTTTTATTCACCAAATGTTAAACAATAGATGAAATAATAACTGAGACATTTGAAATACAAACTGCAAATCAACTATGCATCTGTTTTTTTTTTTATCTAAAGTTCTTATGTTCATGTTGAAAAGAAAAAGAAAAGGTGAAAAGAAAAAGAAAAAAGACTGTGCAAGAAATTCAGTTAAAAGGACAGTTCTCATGCTTCAAAATTTACTGTTGTGCTAAAAATGTACAGTACATGTAACATAAATTATAGATTTTCACTGGTTGACACTTCAATATACAGGGATGCGTTCAGAGTTGTCCAGATGCACCCAGATGACAAGCGATTCTTGTTGTTGACGAATAAAAAACAAGGACACCTGGGTGTACTTACCCCCGTATTCATAGTCAGACCTTATACTTAAGGCTTCCTTAAATTTATCTTTAGATACTCAGTAGCCAATAAAATAATTCGTAGATCATCTGAAGATAAATTTAAGGAAGCCTTAAGTATAAGGTCTGACTATGAATACGGGGGTTAGATGATGATTCTGAACGCAGCCCAGCTATAGTCTATACACACCTACATCATTTTTGGTCGCCACGTAGACATGTTTGTCTAATATGATAAATGTGCATTCTGTAATGTAAAGCCACATATTATTTAATAATCATATTTTGTGAACAGTTGATGGTAAATATTTCATTACTGCTTAGTATCGCATATGGCTATACAATAAGAGAGGAAAAATATATACAGAAATCATTTACAATCTCTTTCACCAACTTGTGATTAAATTAATCGATGATTAACTCGCAGAAGTGCCAAGAGCAATTTAATATATCAGTTTGCCTCCTCTTCCTCTTTCGAGATAAACTGTGTTTAGTTCTCACATTGGCAATCGTGATGATTTAGTTAATCATTGATTAACGTAAATCAGAATTGGTGAAAAAGGCCTTTAATACAAGTAATTATTATGATAAATGAATCAATAAGTAATTTATTTTTATCCTAAAAAATCAAAGAAGTATATATTAAACTTATTTACTGATTCATAAAATATTACTATAAAATATGATAAAGCATTTAAGTCTTTAATGGATTTTGCTAGACTAGATAATTACTATCCTCATCTTCCAGCCACTGTTTCTGCATCTGGAATTCCTCCTCCAGCATCAACGGCTCGGAGCTTGTTAAGTACTGCAGAATAGGATTTTTCATCAATTCATGATACCTGAACATAATTTCTGAGGTAATGTATCAATTGCATTTTGAGTATCTAATCTAATTAATATAATATATTAAATATAAAAAGAGATAGTTTATATACGAACTTTATAACATGCTTTTCTTCATAAGGTACCAAAATGACATTTGTTCCACTAATACGAGTGTTCATATTTTTTCTCATAATTATTGGTAAAAATCAAAGATTTTTAATTAAAATTATTCAGACTATCCTTCTGCACCACAAAAAATAAAATTAGGCTTTAAACGTTCGACGTTTGCTTTTCATGCGTTCCAAAACCATTAAAATAAAAAGCATTGCGATTTTAACCTTTTTGTGACTGAGTGTACATACAACGGTTACAAAAAGGATTTAGCAACACTTTTTCTCGATGGGTTTTGGAATGCAATTTACTTAAGGCTTTGCACGTAAAAAAGCGATAACCGTAAACCCATGGCACATAGAAAAACGTAAAGCCGTAAACATAATCAGTAAGCGAATTGACCAATCACAATTGAAAACGTAAGCGGCGGCTGCACGTTCTCAACTGTGATTGGTCAATTCGCTTACTGATTACGTTTTATGGCCTTACGTTTTTGTATGTGCCATGGGCTTTATACTGGCCTTAATCTGTTAACTTATGTAGTAATCTGTAAAAATTGACCAATTATAATCGATTATTCCCCTCTCATTCGACTGTGATTGGTTAATTTTTACAGATTACGGCCTAATTTAACAGATTACGGCTAGTATAAAGGCCATCATACGTACAAAAATTTTAGTAGTAATCGTAAAGTCTTAAGCAAATCGACCAATCACAATCAAGATTACGATTTACATTTTAATACGCTAAACTGTGATTGGCCGATTTGCTTAAGCCTTACGATACTATTAAAATTTTTATACGTGTGATGGCCTTTACTCGCACCTATTATACGCAGCACTAAATTCACGAGCGCTGCGAGTGTCGAGAATTGAAAACTGAACTCGAAACCTAAAATGGGTCTACTTTTATTTTACGGAGTGGAGTCTCCTTATATCTTACTTCATGGTTTACGTTTTATAGCTACTTGGTCATTATTCGATATATTTCAGAACACATCATCATTTTCTGACAGTCCGATTCGGACGCGTGCGCTGAAGTGATAAATGTCAAGCGCCAAAGAGTCTGAAGGAACAGCTACAGCTACTGAAACAACAACGTCAGGACGAAATAACGAGAGAAGAAGTCTGAACGAATATCTCACGAGCCAGTAAGTTTTTCCTTGTATTTCTTTAACTGTATGTTACGAGGTCCACGCTGTCGACCCATGCTGGGAAAACGCGCGCGACTGAGTGAGTGAGATACACGGCGGCACGCGCTTGTATCATTTGTCATACTGATCATCTCTGTCTAACACGTGCTTGGAGGCACTGGAGTATTTTCGCGTTTATCGCGTATCCTGAATCCTGAAAGCGTTTCTACAAACGCTGCCCCCTTCGTTTTGAATCGAAACGATGCGATAACGGCAATGCGGTAGCATTGCTGACCACGTTTTGCTGAGCACGACCTGTCTGTTATAACCAGTTTGACAGTTCTAATCTGTAAACATCGACCAAGCCTACGATAGTTGAGATCAATTTACAATCGTGAGATGCGTCGTCACCATGCCGGTGAGTGAAGGATTTTCCCTCGCTCGGCGAGCGGTTTTGTTTTATATCGCGCCTAATTAATGTAACATGCTGCACACGCGCCCGCGTAGTAGACCCTAGTTACCAGCAGCGTGTGAGATCCTTCGATGTCTCGCGTGTACAATCTCTGTAAAAATTTTAAGTTGAAAATATGTTGGTTTTTATATTTTTCATATAAAAATAAGTATGAAGACTATGTACATATGAAACAGTTGTGTAACATTTTTTTATTCAGCCAGTATCTTTTTGTAGTTTACTATATATCTGTTATTTTTTATTGAGTTGTAATATTTTAATTTGAAAGTGATCGTGAAAATCTTAATTTTTTCGAGTAATTCTTCGAGAATTCAAGATGATTTATGTGAAGTTTTATTCACTGATTAGTTCATGAATAAACAGATATGGAAGAATATTACTTATTTGATTATTTACAAAATAAATAATCAATGGAACTTTGTACAAATCATTTCAAATGCTTAAAGAATTTTTCCTAAAAGATTGAGATATTTGTTATGATATATATTTTTTCAGTTGAAATGTTATAAGAATAAAAGATAATAAATATAGTAAATAAACTACAAAAAATATTATTGAGAAAAAGTATAATATTATACAACTCTTCTGTATATGTAGTCGTATTTTTTTTATAAAAAATTATTTTGTATGCAAGATTTTTTGAAACTAAAACGACAAACAATATTGAGATGATTTCTAATTTATGTGATATTTCTTGATACGACTGCATTCCCATTTTTAAACGTTTAAATGGAACAGCATTCCCATATAAGACACGTGTCAATTAATTTCAAGGCATTTCTCTATTTTATTTATAAGAAAAATTTTGGCGGTCAATAAAAATGGATAAATAGAACACGTTAATGATGCTTTTTCATGCTAACGTCATTTTTAGTGTCAAAACAGGTGAAACTCATGAAAAATTGAATATCAAGCGTTGCGTTATTTCAATCACGTGTTTTTGTGTGAAAATTGAACGTCGAGTTTCAAGCATAGATTTATATTTGATTTCGCACGGAAAGTGTTTGTAAACGTAATAAAAAAAAGCGCGGTACTAAGAACAGTCTGTCCTCGTCAATAACTCGATCCCACGTCAGCTTTTTTCATTCACTATAAAAGAATTGAGTAGTCTTTTTTGTGTGTTCTCATCTTCGAAAATTTTTGAGGGAAAATTGATTTCTTATATCCATTAAATATAAGTCGAACTGACATTTGATTTATGTATCCCCGTGAGTTCTAGTAGTCCCCCGAAGAGTTCTAACGATTATCTTTAACAACCGATGCTGTAAAATCAATACATCTAAAAAGTTCTGAAACTTTAAAGTTTCAGTTTTCGAATTTTTCCACTTCTAGGAGCTAGAACTCTTTTGTTTGCGGTTTTAGTTGTATGACTGTTAAGGATAATCGTTATAACTCTTCGAGGGGTTACCAGAACTCGTGTCGGAACACCGAATTTCCAAAAAAAATTTCTTTTTTTTTTATTAGAAAAAAATATTTTATATAAAAAAATTTTGGAAATCCTGTGTTTTGTTGAGAGTTCTAGTAGTCCCCCAAAGAATTCTATCGATTGTCCTCTATAGATTAAGATGCTAAAATGAACGGTATAGAAGTTATAATCCTTCAAAGTTGCGGAATTGTAAAGTTTGCCTGCCCCTACTTGAAATGTTTTCTTTGTTTAAATCAACGGAATTCTTTCTAAATTTGTTATAGAACTCTAGAACTTTTCGGGGGACAACCAGAACTCTACTTATTTTTACAAAATTTTGAAGATGAGAGGCCAGGTTCACGAAGGTGAGATTTATGTTCTTTCTTTATTTAATGTTTTATAACGATTTCTAGAATTATTGACATGAGGGTCGTTCTTAGTTTTTAAATATCACAAAAGAGAATGTTAAAAAGAGATCGATTTTTACCCTCAAAGGTGTAAGAAATAGCGCTTTTTATAGATTTTGATCTCCTGAATATGATAATGTTAATAAAAAGTTCAGGATCAATAGGAAACACCTTGAAAATTAAGCATTTACATGATGTATTAACAGAATTCGAATGCTGTATGAAGCTGTCACAAAATATCGTGTGAGTTTTCTTAATCGTGCGCGCGCGCGCGAGCACGTGTCTTATATTTTTTGTATCTTTTAATCTCGTTCTCTATTAAATCCGGAACCGTAACGAAATAAGTATTGGTTCCATATTTTTGTATTTTATAATACTTCGTTTTAGTTTTATATTTTTAAAATTTTTGTTTAATTTTCTTTTTGCGCACACACACACACACACACACACACACATACCTGTTTTCCCTCAAAAAACTCACACGGATGCATTTTATTATAGCTCTATACAGTATTCAAATTTTGTTAAGGGTATGGACAGTGTAAAAGCCTGAAAAATCGGAGGTTCTTTGGGAATTTTTTTTTTAATATAATAAAGTCAGGTAATTTTGTTTTATGGCATCTTTATTGTATCAATTCTGAGGTACGTAAAAAAATTTTTTTTGTTTCGATTACTTATATGTAGGCTGCTGTACAAAAGGGTAATCTTGAACAGTTACTTTTGCCTCGTTGACAGCAAATCAAAAAATCTACTCGACCTTATTGACCTGGTGTAAATTGCATTTTGTTCAGAAAACTTACCTCTATAGCAGGACGTAGGGAAATTACAAAATTGCAAAAAGTAACAAAATGGCGGACATATGAATTCTTTTTTTTAAATTTGGCCTTTTTTACAAAAAAAAAGAGGTAAGTTTTCTGAACAAAATGCAATTTACACCAAGTCAATAGGTCGAGTAGATTTTTTGATTTGCTGTCAACGAGGCAAAAGTAACTGTTCAATATTACCCTTTTGTACAGCAGCCTATATATAAGTAATCGAGACAAAAAAAATTTTTTTACGTACCTCAGAATTGATACAATAAAGACGCCATAAAACAAAATCACCTGACTTTATTATATTTAAAAAAAAAATTCCCAAAGAACCTCCGATTTTTCAGACCTTCACACTGTCCATACTCTACACCATGTTCATACTTTTAATTTTCAAGGTGTTCCCTTATCGAACCCAAACTTTTTATTAACATTACCGTATTCAGGAGATCAAAATCTATAAAAAACGCTATTTCTTTTATTTAACACTTTGTAGGCAAAAATCGACCTTTTTTTAACATCCTCCTTTAATTATAACATAATACATTGATAAAAATACATCAATAAAATTAAAATTCAGTTTGGGATGAGCACCTCACTTATTAAGATATTTGCATATCTTAAAATCACCTACCTACTATAGAATATTTAATAAATAATAAAAACACAATCAAAAATATTTTGTTATTAAACACGTGCGACTTGTCAGATAGAACTTTTAACTAGTAAGGGAGAGTGGTCTAAATCTGACCTATTTGAAGTTCTTGTTCTCTATCATGCGTAAATAAAGTCATAAAATCAATGGTGCCGTTCGAAAGATCATTTAATTTTCTTCAGTTTTGCTTGAAATCATTT